TTCAGGTTTATAACCTTTCTTTCCTTTTGCTGATTGAGWTAGTTATGCGACTGCACTGCAATTTTTCTGACTTTTCTACCTAATTGCGAAATGACACTTTAAGTTCTGTTGGTAATATCTGCTGTAGGCCTATTGGCAAACTTTCAAAGATCACGTTCAGACGTGCACTATTCGATACTCGTCGTTTTAAAAAAACACAGACAGACCTTAAACCGTCAAACGCCACACGCCAACCTGGACAAAACTTGTAAACTTTTCCAACCTCTTTTCAGTGTACGTTTAAGGGCTACTTTCGACAATACAGTAGTTTTACTTTATAAACACGACAGGATCTAAGATAATCTCGCTTGTGCGGCCCTCTGGGTAAGTGGATACCGTGTCGTAAGCGTAACCGTACGTACTACAAATAATGACGAAGTTCGTGATTTCTGCATCCACTAGCAATGAAGGAACCCTGACAAAAAAAACTTTATTCAGTTCAATTAAAGTAATAAGCGTCGTGTTAACTGGCCGAATTTTCCACATGATTTCCCTCGTGTAAATACACTCTTCGTTCAAAATGGCAGCCAATATTATCGCATACCTCAGAGGATCGCGTCAGTAACTGAAGTACGTTTTTTGTTAAGCTGTAACACTTTTGCGATACCTGGACAGATATTTTGCTGAAGGACGTAGCTGAGGAACGCAAGTTTGAAGCACTGCTTGTCATGTGAGAATTGCACGATGTACTACATATGCTTACATTTTTGGACTTTTACAACCGGCATCGAATAATTCTGAAATGGACAGAAATCAGGGCCGGTTCAGTTTGTGGCTAAAATGGTGTGGATAATCCTTAACCGAGAAACAACAATGCAATGACTGTTTATTTTTCAGCGAAATCAAATGTTTTGTAGCCGAACGATATAGACTAGAGATAACCGATTCACGTAACTTGTCGCCAAGGTTTATCAGCACAGAGTAGATAAGCGCAATCGCAAATGTAGGTTCTTCTGTAGCTTAGAACAGTGTGGCGAAAAAAGTGTACTTTCACAAATTAGCTTTTCCTTAAACACCGGTAAAAAGTGAAAATGTTTTACCCAAGATTGTTTGCAAATTCAAATACAGTTATAATTTATAAGCAGTGAATAGATATCTCTGGCGGAAACTGGAACTGTACTTGTGTCACGCAACATGCCACTCAATTTACAGAGCCTTGAATCAACGCCAAACGTTTTTGACTTACTGCAAGAGATTGACCCCATTAATTAAGTACTGTTATCTCATAGTCTTGAATCTCTATTGATTTTCTCCTCAGATATAGTATTTTGCACACGATATGATGTCAGGGAGAAAAGGCCATGCAAGAGACAAAAGGTACGGGGCATCACCAATAGCTCACACTCCCAGAAGTGATATCTTCTGGGAGATGACGAAAAGCAATGGAACTAGATACATCGCAACTTACAACACTAATTGGGGAGAGAAGGTTGTAATTTCCGAACCGGTCAATCCGTGGCAAGTGCTGGGTTTCTTCTCATCCGACGTGTCTTATGGGGCTATCAAGGCAGCTTTCAAAACGAAAATAACCCAATCCGGTCGCCAGAATCGTGCAATGGTATCTATAGCCTGCCATATCTTAACATCATCCGGTGACAGGTACACGCGAAAACCCGGCACGGACGAGTATATCGTTAGAAAGCATGACCACTTTATACTTGCAGCATGTGGCCACACAGTACAGCTTGAATTTGAGATCTCCACGA